TCTGATGTTAGAAGAGATTACTGTACTAGGTGCTACAGCCAGGCTGAAAAGGAATTGCCCGCAGAATGTGGGGACAGAAATGAGAAGCTTAGCCAGAATGTCATGCTTGAGAATAGACATGGGTAAAACAATAATAGAAGGCTTTGAATAATTTATATAATTTGCTGTAGACTACTTTAAAATCTGTATGCAAAAATCTCCCTTTTTTCTTTCTAATCACTAATCAAATGAAGAAAAGTGTTGAACAAAATAGATCTGTCCATTTTAGAAGAATAACGTCCATTTTCATTCATTGCAACTGCGAAATTTGTATTGCATAGTGATGTGCCCTAGAATTGAGATTCCTAATATACAATAATTTCTTCTCCAAATTCATGCACAGACTTTCAGAATTCCATGTACCATCATACTAAGAGATTAAGAAAGATACAGAATTGAAATTCAAAACTCTTAACAGCTATAGACGTCTCTTAAGTGACCATGGGAAGCACTGCATGTCATTGATGTACAAAAATTCACCTTAAAATAATGTTTTTTAAAATTTCTAAGATTACACGTGTCATACTTCACACACAACCACTACAGCTAACCACATATACACAGTCACACACACATTATATTCAGCTAGTGAAAAATGGATTAATTGCTGGATTTTCTAAGGATGAATATTGTGAGAAAGAAATGCACACTGAACAATTCATAGTTGCTATTAACAGCCACAGAAGTCAACAAGATGTCCCCCAGGCATACAGGAAAATATACTAACCTGCATGAATAACAACTGTGCTTCTCCTGTATCCAGATGGAAGCCGAAAATTTCGGAGTAATCCTTTTGCAGTTAGTCGAACGTGCATGTTGGATAAGGAGAATTTTGGGGACCATAACATGTCTTTAGAGGAATTGGAAGAAAAACAACCAGGAAACATTCTCCATACACTGTCACATACTATTTTTGTAACTCAGCTTTGAAGGCATGGAGTAGCTGGCCAGATAAACAATCTCACAACATATCAAAGCCTCTCTTCGTTTCTCCACTGAGATTCCACAAACAGGTGAACAATTAAAAATCCAGGAAGGAAAATACTACATCCACAAGGTAAAGCCTGCTGCCAGCTTCGTTGCCTACCAGCAAGAGGCTTTAAAACAAAGCTCACCCTGAGAATAAAACTGCTCTGTGATTTAGAAGCAGCTCTGAATTACATCACACTGCTCAGGTTTAATCAAATGTGTGGTACAGTGGCAACAGAAAGCAGGAGGAGGAGAAAAAAGTGGGTGGTCTCCCAAGCTGAATACATCAGCCAATAATGTCACAGATCATGTCATTCAGTTTTCAGAACCACTAGAGGAGAGGATTTAACGTTCCACAAGATGGATTAAGACCATTCCTTATATTAACAGTTTTTAGTAAATCAAATTCTATGTTCATTATCCTGAAAGCTATTTGACCCAACAAGAATAGACAACAACATTTTGGCTCCTTTTGATCAAACACAAGTAGATTTGTTGTTTGTGGCTGTATCAATATTCTCTGTTTGATTATAAAAATACTAAAGAGAGTTCTTTGCCTTTAGGGTTAGGCTAATTTTGCATATTTGTTTTAATTTAGTGCTACTATCATTACGTGAGTAGTAATCTTAATGTAGGATAAATGATTTAAGCTGTATCAGTTAGGAACTTCTTGTTTTAAATTGCCAGGTACATTTCAGAAGGGGGTGGGGGGACAATTAAGCCAACTTTGTATGCCAGGCAGGACCCACAAATTTTTGATTCACTGATTCTAATTTTCCAGATGGGAAAAGTTGTAACTGATATTTCAAAAATGCTGAATTGGTTATGAAAAAGTAGCAAAGTAGTTACCCAAAATATAAAAATATGTACTGAATTAATTTCAAGATATGCACAAACAGGCTTCCTTTAACACTGGTGTTCTCTTTATGAAATACTGTATATCTCAAACCCATAAAACAACTGATTAGGGGTGCAGCCCCTGATGTTTTTCTGATTACTTGCTATATAACATCAGCACAGAATTTTAAAAATAGTCTAAAATCTGGCAAGGCTTTAATAAGATCAATGATGTAAGAGGTGGGAAATTCTTCAAGCACATTCAGGAAAACATTCATGCCAACATGGGGCTGTTTTAATTAGTTCTTCATTCCTGCAGAGGTAGGTCACCCTAAGTAGCACCAGCCAAAAGCTAAAGCAACAGCAACCTATTCATGACATGAGAATTAAGAGAATATAAAATATTGCCTGTATAGGTCTGTATGTTGGAGGCTATGTATTAGTTAGTAGGATTATGTAACATGTTCAAAGCACATTAGTGCAAATGAATCGAACTGCTTCATGAAGCAGTAAGAAAACCACCTAGTTTGGAATGGCTTTCTCAGACTGGGTTTACTTGTGTTCACACATGTACAGCTGCTTCACATACAGTTCTAGCAGAAATGCTGAGAAAGTCTTTGAAGCAGGCACTTTGAAAAAACCGATGATAGGTCCTGGTTGCCGTAATCTAAATGAAACTGTAAACCAATTTGGGATCAGCAGTATAACATTGAAAAAAAGGTGGCCAACAAGAACACACATAAGACCAAACAAAACTGACAAAATTACATTACTACAAGAAGGGCAGCAAAGAAAACTATCACTCAGGTCAGAGCTGAATATTATTGGGAGTTATACAAACAACTGATGTAGAGAAAGGCAAGAAAAACATCTGTAAATTAGCAAAAGCACAAACCAAGGAAAGATAAGACATTGAGTATGTATGAAAGAATCTCAGTATGAATATTGAAATCAATCAGGGCAAGAAATCTAAGCTGATGAATTGTCATGTCTGTGTTCAGTCCATCAAGTTCAAGAAGAAAATGCTTTAGGTAGTAAAGTAGATGAGATGTCATTTTCATGACACTAGAATTATTTCTCTCTTTCATATCACTTTAGATCAAACAGTTTTATTTTCTTTCTGGTTTGCCATTACTTATTGAAATTATTGCCACTTTTCTTTATAGCTTAGTTGAAGGGGAGAGGGCCAGGTTCTCTTTGTGTTTGTGAATTGTCTCTTTTGACCCCAAATTAAGGGAAAAAGGAAAACAATTCAGGACCATCCAGGACCATCCAACTATTTTCTTTAATACCTGCACAAATTCTAGATTCATAGGTTTGATTTTAACTCAAATTTTAGAGTAAGCAGCCTTTTTTGTAACCATGGATATTAACACAAACTGAAACCATTACGGCACCACCTTTCCTTCTCTGCGTTAAGTGTGTGACAAAATGAAGACTCTGTGGTTTTAACACTAGATTTTTCCCCTTTTCCTATTTCCATTTATTTTGTTTGTAATTGTGCATAATGAAAAGTTCTGAGAACTTGAAAGCTTGTACCTTATTTGAGTAATTGAGATAGCCCAATAAAACATTAACATAATTAATATTTATCATTTTCCCATCATTTTCCCATGTTTTGAGTGCATTCTTGTGTTTTTTGCATGACACATTGTATAATAGTTGCATATTTGGGCCACAGCTAGCTTTACTATTAATATTTAAAATATCTTTTAAAACATCAAATCAAATAGGAAATATGTTCCATCTCCAGAAAACTAGAAATTCAGATAATAAACAAACAACAGAATAGTTCAATAGGACCTGTTTACTCTGTCTAATAATATTTTCTGTAGCACTCAGCCCTCGCCCTCTGCAAGCCAGTGAAATACTTACATAACTCTTTCTAAATTGTGGAGGACACTAATTCTAGTCTGATGTAACAGACTTCCCATAGTAGTTCTGGAGGGCCAATCCAAAAAAGCTCCATTTATGAGCTGAAAATGTGTCCCTGTAGACAAATGGCCACTGAAATCACAGGTCATGTCCTGTTATATTGTACCCTCTCTAAGGATTCATGGACTCATAACTCCCCACAGGGTAAATTAGCTGGAAAACTAGCTAATATCTTTTATGTTCAGCTGTTATTGTTGGATTAGTTTGATACAATCTCCTATAGCTAAATTCTGCTATACTGTCTGTAAAATTAGGCAGACTTTGGCTACCCACTGATGATCTCACCACTAACTGTAATATACTATTAGATCTTGTTCTATTTATTTTAATGTTTTAATTTTTAATTCTAGTCTGTGACCTTAATAAAACATTGACTGGATAAACATAATCAAATACATTCATGATTAAGACATCTATCGCATCATTTATTCTTGTCCTAATAAGGACTTATGTTCTGATTAGCCTCAATTGTTTAAGAGGAAGTAGTTTCTCCATAAAAAAGAAATATATTAGTATGTCTATCCTTTCAGGGACTCTGGTCTTGTCTACC